CACCCAGCAGCGCTGCTGATGCCTGAACGGTATGTGGAATGAAGTGGGCGGGCATCGGGAGGCCACTATGGCACGGGGCAAGCACTATGGGCAGTCTATCTGAAGTGTACCTGGCATATAAGACAACCCCCCACTTGGAGGCATATTTTTCAGGGCCAAAAAATCGTCTTATACGCCGGCAAATACGGTAGATGACAGGCGTGTGAACGGCTGAAAGTCCTCCCTGCGCATGTTTGAGAAGCGTCCTGTTGGAAACATTCCTAAACCAAGTCTCCATGGGCGTTCTCTCCCCTTCCTTCCAGGGTGAGATGCTCACTGGCTCTGTTTGATTCGCAGGTTATCATCAGCATCGGCCTCATGTTCTATGTGGTCCATCGAGCGCAAGTGGAGCTAAAGGCGGCTCTTGTCACCTGTGAAGTGGAACTGGAAGCCCCGCTGGTGAGCGGCGGGCAGCCAGACAGCGGCATCGATGTCGTGTGACCCCCTACGCGGGAACCCCTGAGTGCATGCTTGTCGACAGCCTGGTGCTGTCCGGGTGTCGTCCCCCTGGGCAGAGCCGGCCCGATGTTCTGTGGCACAAACAGGACTGGTTTAAACGGCTCTGCTTTTCTGAGGCGAGAACTTCTGTCTGCGGGCGAGTGGCTGGGTTTGGGCTGCACGGTGACCCAGTCACCCTGCAGAGGCCTTCGGTCTGTACTTCTGTGGTGTCTTCTCTCTGGGGACTTGTGAGCAGAGCATGACCCAAGGTGTGCTGGTCAGACCTGTTACAAAGTCTGGGAGCCGCCTGCATCCGTCCTGCTCACAAAATGCGTGCCCTTTGCCCGGCCACTTTCCAGAAGGGTGAGCAGAGTGGTTCGGTGTGGTTGCTTCCCTGTTTATTCCCGGTTAGAAGCAGATGCTGACTTTGGGCTGACCGTGGCCCACCAGCAGGTGTCGTGGCATGTGTGCCGGTCACGCCCAGGGTCCCCGTCGAGGTTGAAGTGCTCTTACCACCCTTCCTCCCCAGGCAGTGGAGCCGGAGCCACGAGGCTGACAGGTCAGCGCAGACCTGGGGCCGCTGTGCGCTCACTGCTCCTCCTCAAAGGCCGTCGCACGCAGTTTACCCAACCATTTCATTAAACACTTTCTTTTTATTGTCGTCATTAGGTTTTGAAATAAAAATGTTTTCCCTTTAAAATGGTGGGCTTGCTGTCATTGAAGGTGTCACTCAGGTGGCCTTATTGGATCCAAACACCCTTTTTTAAAAACAAGCTTTAAAATCATGTTTGTGATTCCACTGAAGTTCTTATGTCCTTGTCCCCATTGTCTGCAGCTTTAAACTGTAAATATGATGTGAGCCTCGTGCCCGCCGTGTGTCAGTGGCCTGCTGTGGAGCGGGCTCGCTGTTTGCTTCCCAGTTGCTTTTCTCTGATCAGACTCAGGACCCTGAACTGTGAGCGGTGCTGGGAGCCCTCGTGGGGGCGCACGGGGACTCCCCTGGGCTCAGAGGGCATGTGCACTCACGCACCACCTGACATCTGTGAATTTAAAGATTCGGTGTTTTTTTTTTTTGTTTTTTTGTTTTTTACAACTAAGATTATAGATGGGATCCAGGTTTTCTGGTTCATATCTCAGTTTGGCAAGAAGATTCCAACCTAGAGACTCCCACTTGCCTGGCCATTGGTGGAGCCTTTGCCTGGTTCGCTCCCGGGGGAAGCGCCTTCAGAAGCAGCGTCATCCTGTCCTGCGCTGAGCGTGCTCAGTGGTAAGTTCTCTGTGCCAGGGCAAGCGCAGTGTTCTTCCTTCCAGCACATCCCGCTCTCGCCTGCCAGGAACCGGGGCTCAGCCAGCGTCTGCCCGGGGCCTCGGCGCTGGCAGTAGGCCTGCAGCACGCGGGCAGCCTCCACATTGTCTTTATCAATAGAAAAACGCATAGATTGGAATATTCTTATTCTTTTTTGAATCCTAATTACTTGTTTAGTTCCTTTTTTTGTTTGTTTTTTAATGATTTTACAATGAGCAATACATTTGGTCCATGTCTAACTTGACTTGTGCTCTTCGTTGGTTAGTTTGTTGAAGGAATCATTCATCTAAGGTTATTACTCTCAAACTTGTGTGCACTTTATGTATTTGAAGTGCATTTATTTACTTAGCATTTCATAACTTGAATAATTTCCCCAAACATAAACCTTTTGGTAGTTCATAACCTGCTCTTCCAACTGTTGCCTGGCACTTCAAATAAACATGTCAAGGTGAATGAGAAGTGATTGTTCTGTATGCTGCCAATCATTTTATATAATAAATTACCCATTTTTACTTAAGATCGTGTGGATGTGCTGTTTCTAAGACACTAGCGTGAAGCCACCCTTCCTTTCTCTCCAGCCCCGAGTGGACATCGCCACGTGTGGTGCCCTGGGCGGGGCCACTCTGCTCCCCTCGGGCAGCACCATGCTGCCACAGGATTTCTCATGGTGATCACATCCTGCCTCCAGTCATTGAGAATCCTGTGTAATAAAGAACTAATATGCAAATGGTCATCACACCAGCACACTGTAAGGGCTCAGACACTCAATACTGGGGAGAGAGGAATGGGGACCAGCCAGGCACAAATGAACTCGCGAGAGAGGAATGGAGACCAGCCAGGCTGCGGCCCGGTAGAGGGATAAGCCACCCACCCCATGGTCCCGGGCATCTGTGGCTGCAGCCCAGTCCTCCCACCCACAGTCTCCTGCGACTGCGGCCAGCCCAGGCGAAGCTGGCCTGGGTCTTGGGTGCCTGCAACTGGCCGGTGGAGGGAATCCAGGTGTGGGGTGAGGTAGAGGCAGTTAGGGGCGATCAGGCCAGTGGGGGAGCAGTTAGGGGCAATCAGGCCAGTAGGGGAGCAGTTAGGGGTGATCAGGCAGGCAGAGGTGGTTGGGGATGATCAGGCAGGCAGGCTAGCAGTTAAGGGTGATCAGGCAGGCAGGCAGGTGAGCAGTTAGGAGCCAGTGGTCCCAGATTGTGAGAGGCAGTCAGAGATGCCCTGAGGGGTCCCGGATTAGGAAGGGTGCAGGCCTGGCTGAGGGGACCCCCCGCCCCCCCGTGCATGAATTTCATGCACCTGACCTCTAGTATATTTATAAAATAAAATGTTTTAGACTTCTCTCCTGTTTAAGTGCAGTTAAAAGTTGCTTTATGAATATTTTTAAAAGCATACAATATACCTAGTTTCTAATTCTGATGACCAATAAGTTCTAATTTTAATTCTCTGGGCCTTCTCATGAATTTTCCACATATTCTGGTTTATTATCACTCATTTTGTTTTGGTTTTTGAAAATAACAGAGCTGGTCTCTGTCATTGGATGTGGTTTGAGTTTGTGTTCAGAGGTGACGGGGTTCTCAGAGCTGTCAGCCCCTGTCCTGCCTGTGTGACCGCCTGTACCTCTCTCTGCAATGACCATCCCCTGAGGGTCCATGTGGCCTTGGGTCACTCGCTCCATCAGAGATGCCACTGCATCACTGTTGCTGCTTTAGTTAGACGTAGTTGATTTCTGTAAACTATTTAGGACATACTTTTTTTCCATAAATATATTTTTATTGATTTCAGAGAGGGAGAGGGAGATAGAAACATCAATGATGAGAGAGAATCATTGACCGCTGCCTCCTGTATGCCCCCTACTGGGGATCGAGCCCGCAACCTGGGCATGTGCCCTGACCAGAATTGAACCTGGGACCCTTCAGTCTGCAGGCCAGTGCTCTATCACTGAGCCAAACCAGCCAGGGCAGGATATACTCTTTTTGAAGGTTATTTCTAAGCTGGAAGTCTCTCCCTGGAGGAATCACCTGCCCACAGACATTTAAATCAAGTTCTAGTCACTTTACACATTGACCTTAAACTGCTGACTTGCCCCACAGCTGAGATGTAACTTGGTACTTCTGAATTGCAAATAGTTTGAATTGTTGCAAACCGATTTCTAAGGTAGCTAAGATTAAAAGCAGATGATTCTAGCCCAGCTAGAATAGCTCAATGCTCAGTGGTTGAGCATCGACCTATGAACCAGGAGGTCAAGGTTCAATTCCTGGTCAGGGCACATGCCCGGGTGCAGACTTGATCCCCAGTGGGGGGCGTGTAGGAGGCAGCTGATCAATGATTCTCTCATCTATGTTTCTATCTCTCCCCCCTCTCCCTTCCTCTCTGAAATCAATAAAATACATCTTAAAAAATAAAACATAATTTTAGAGGTGAATCAGTAAAAGCTCTGGCAAACTGGAATCCCAGGCCACATGTATCCTGAGAAAGTCAATTTCCCTTCGCGCCTCCCTCCCTGCCCTCTCTGAGGTCATGGTGAGAGATAGCCAGGGGAGGACGGGAAGATGCTTCTGGAAACAAGCATGTGGACAGCAGCCCTGGAGGCCGGTCCCAGCAGAGGTCTGGCCATCGCTCCTGCTCGCCGGTCCGTTTGTCCAGTGCAGCCCCAGTTGTCCGCGGGGCCTCCCCAAGAGCCCAGTGGTGCCTGAGGCCACGGAGTGTGAGCCCCTGCGTGGCCCGCATCCCACACATGTGACGAAGCTGCGTTTATTAATAGGCACAGAGAACAGCAACAATGATGTCATAAAATGGTTATAACAATGTGCTGTGGAGAAGTCACGTGAATGGCTTTGGGGCCACTAAGTGAAGGAGGGAGAGTGAGCTGTGACCCCACACCCGTCCGTCTGGTCAACGTCAGTTCACGGGGACTTATTTCACTTGCATGATGCCCTCCAGGCCCCTCCAGGCCCCTCCAGGCCAGTGGTTCTCAACCTTGCACATTAGAATCCCCTGGGCATCTTTTTAAAATCCTGATTTCTGGGCCTCTTCCTCTAGAAATTCTGTCCTCCGGAAATTCTGTTTCTTTGTTATGGGGTGAGGCCACAACATTAGCAACAAAAAAACAGAATTTCTGGAGGATGAGGCCCAGAAATCAGGATTTTAAAAAGATTCCCAGGGGATTCTAATGTGCAGCCAAGGTCGAGAACCACTGCTCTAGGCTGTCTCACAGAGTAAGAGATCCTTCTTTTTTACAGCTGCACAGTATTCCATGGTGTAAATGTACCACAGCTTTTTCATCCACTCATCGACTGATGGGCACTTGGGCTGTTTCTACATCTTAGCTATTGTAAATCGTGCTGCTGTGAACACAGGGGAAATTCATTTAAAAATTAAATTGTTCAGTTTGGGAAGAACATGTTTTAAGGCTGAAAGGAATGAAGATCTCCCAGTTCAACCTTCTCATGTAGAAAGAGGTGGACATTTCCTCAGCATCTCACTGCCCTCTGCGTCCCTGTTCCAGTCGGCACCATGGCCCTGGGAGGCCACACACAGCAGCAGTGCGCAGAGCTCCCGTCGGCTCCCAGGGCCCCCTCACTTAGGGAAGGTTTTAATCCATGCCCACTCGCCCTGACAGCACGTGATTGAGACCGAGACTTCAACTCCCTCTGAAACACCCAGGCCTGTGAGGTGATAAATGAATGGTTTGGAATATATGGAAAAATACATGTTGCAAGCCCTTCATTTGAAATCTTTGCCATTGGGATTGAGAAAAAGGAATTTTCAGGCTCCTAGGTTAGCTAGTGAAATGCAGAGAAAGTGAGTCACAAATCAAAGCAGATATAATTTCCACCCACTGAAGGAAGAAAACGTTTTTAGAAATACGGAAATGTATAAGAAGGAAGGGGAGCAGTGGTCGGAAGCTCCCGGCTGTAAATTCAGTCATTTCTGCCCCAGCTTTAGTCCCAGGTTCATCAGCAACACGTGTGGTACGAAATGCCTGGGTCAGATCTGCATGTAAGACGCTGGGGCAGACGTGATGAACCGAGATGTTCAGACTCAGATTATAGGCCTTTTGCACTGACTGATTTGATAGGAAAAATCAGAACTAAAGTAGGGCTTCCGAAATGTGATCTATGGTGAAGATGCTGTGGAAAGTGCTGACGTGGCACAAAGGACGTAGAATGTTCCAGTCTTAGTGGGTCTGAGCGGATTGACTCCAATTTTGAAAGAAGTTCTGTGGGTAAAATGCTGTCAAACAGCCTCACATGCTGCAGAGAAGTCGCTCATGAAAGGGAGAGTCAGTCGCTGCAGCAGACTTCAGTACTGTCGTATTTTGAGGAATTGCCAACCTTCAGCAGCCACCACGTAGGCAAGACC